GGAATTGGCCATGGGTAATTCTTTTTTTATTAATTGCATTAACCCATTCACGTTCAGGCTTTCTATTCTTAATCAACCATAATAATAATACATCATCGTCGTCGCTAGTGTTTCCGGAAGTTGCCATTGTTGATGTTGTTCCGCTTGGTTGGTTCAAAAATGCACGTAGTCTGACCTCGAATAACCGATTTCCGTGCGCGATGTGAACGCAGCGTTCAAAAAACGTAACAACTCACGATTTTTTCTCCGGGCTCCGGACCGGATCCGGGCTTGATGTGAACGTAGCTTTAACCTGGGTCATTGCCAAATTATTTTTATTCTCCTTTTGTACTCTGTTTTCTCAGTACTTTTACTAACAGTTCTCTATAAAGGTGAATGTCGCTGAAAATATATAGAACAGTATGCCCCTGGACTCCTTCATAACTAGCCTGCACACAAGTACACGTCCTCATTTTCTTCACAAAATATTTATATATCTGAATTGTGTTCTCTCTGTTCTACACTAAATAGTGTTTGATTTTATTGTCTAATATCCCTCATTTCAATTTGTGTCTTACATATACATTTTATTTATTAAATGCAGTGTGGTGTATATAGTAAATTCAATTCATGATCTGTTATTATAATCACATTTTCTTCATTCAGTTTCAGATGTGCTGCCACCAGTCAGCCTGTCGAACATACCAGGCTTACCAAACGTTAACGTGTCAATACCCCCAATAGCACTGTCCTCACTTCCTCCTCCCCAACCAGGCTCAACGGTTCCCACCTCCATCTCTTTTCCATCATCTATTACAGTACCTCAACTACCAGCTGGTATAACCATACCGCCACCACCTGTATCTCTGCCAACAGCAATTGCAGGTGGTGGAACTATAGCTGCTCCCGCATCGCTGTCGTCAATAGCAACAGGTGTTTCACAGACTGAAGCCAGCTCTTAGGCTTACATAAAACTTGATGTATGATATCTAATTATGTATTCGGTATCACCAGAGTTTATACAGTTCTGTTTAATGACAGCATACCAGAGTAACTATCTTTTGAAAATAATCTTGTAAATTATTTAGTATTAAATGTGTAACATGAAATCATTCAGCTGTGTACATTACAGTGTGCTTTTTGAAAGGATCAGTGGTGGATTTGCTATAAATGGTCTAGACATTAATTGTCTACCCGAGATAAAAAACATTATACAGTAATTGAATATTGTTTGTCTGTGAAATCTTAATGCAAATGTGTTTAATGCAAGATTTAACACCAAACAATGGTAATATATGTATTATCGAAAGGAGCTGTTCTGGTATTGTTATATTTTTCAATGCACACTTTTGGATTTTAGAGAATGCACTCTTACTTTAATTTTTTTGTGGACAATTAACAAGTGGTTTTGAATTCTCTTCTGATAGTTTAGTTTTTTCAATTGAATGAGTCTTATAATTTTAACGTGAATTTGTGTTTTGAGTGAATATATAAAAGATTCAATAAAGTGAATCTTAAGTACAGTATCATTGTTGGAAGTTTTTAATAAAACAACCAAGTTGTAAAAAATCACTAAGTTTTATGTATTCTGTTTTCATAATGATATATATGCAGATAGCAAACTTGTTCATGTGTACAGATTTACAAAAATTATTTTAGCAAACCTATTCACCTGTAGAAGCTACAGTAGTGGTAAGATCTAATAGAAATCAAATACCCGTAGCCTTGAAGTACTGTTCTCTATTTGCAATTTGATACAGTGATGCAGACAACAAATAGGAAAACCTCTGATTTTGTTCCGTATAATGACAATGTAAATGAAATATGGAGTTTCAGAGTTACTGCAGAATGAGTAAATCAGTGATATTCTCAACAATTGATTACTGTACAGTATAATTTCTTCATTTTTTGCCTGAGGCAGAAGTACACTGAATAAATACTTTCAATTTCTATACACTAATTTTGATTATTTTGTCTGTTAATTTTCTGTATGTATGTTTTAAAATCAGTAACGTTAATTTAAAATAAAATAAGTAAATAGCAATGAGACTGATCAGAACAATTCAGTTTTTACTATAAAAAAGTATTTTACAGTAATTTGAAAATTTATTACCAGCCAATTTCAGAATCATGCAAAGAATGGTAAATGTTTACAGTACTGTAATTCAATTTTAGAGCTAAGGATATACCCTGTCTCTTATACACATCTCCCTCTTACTTTAATTTTTTTGTGGACAATTAACAAGTGGTTTTTAATTCTCTTCTGATAGTTTAGTTTTTTCAATTGAATGAGTCTTATAATTTTAACGTGAATTTGTGTTTTGAGTGAATATATAAAAGATTCAATAAAGTGAATCTTAAGTACAGTATCATTGTTGGAAGTTTTTAATAAAACAACCAAGTTGTAAAAAATCACTAAGTTTTATGTATTCTGTTTTCATAATGATATATATGCAGATAGCAAACTTGTTCATGTGTACAGATTTACAAAAATTATTTTAGCAAACCTATTCACCTGTAGAAGCTACAGTAGTGGTAAGATCTAATAGAAATCAAATACCCGTAGCCTTGAAATACTGTTCTCTATTTGCAATTTGATACAGTGATGCAGACAACAAATAGGAAAACCTCTGATTTTGTTCCATATAATGACAATGTAAATGAAATATGGAGAGCAGGGCTTGCCCTAACTTTTTTTGTTAACTAGACCACTGGGCTAGTTTACTAGAGATTTTACTAGCCCACAGACTATTTTACTAGCCCACAGGCAGGAAAACATTTTGTTTCAAAATATTTATTAGCGACAATTAAATTTGAAGGTTGATTTGCAATTTCATAATTTCTGTAGCTTTGCTGTTTGAGTAGTACCCCCTCAAATTAGTGTAATAAATAAAAAAATCTCCCATGCTGCAAAATCAACTCTGGTTATAACACTAACAGGGACAGATGAGCATGTTTTGCATCTCCCTGGTTGTAATGTCGGCATTCTAATATTTAACAAAGGGCCCAGAAATCAATCAAACCAATGCATCTGTTAAATCTTCAGGTCTCAAGTCACTCACCCACCAATGGCAATAAATCTTGCTCAGGCTAGACTAGGCTACCTTGGCCTAGGCCTAAACAAGACCCAGGGCCTAGGCTAGCCTAGCTTCCTATAGCATTGAATTACTTAATTATTCGAACATTTTATAAATATCATTATGAGAAAATAATATGAATACAAGGTAGTACATTAAATTTAATGTACCTAAATTAACCCGATTCAACGATCAAACGATCTTCTGTTGAGAGAGAGAGATAACATGCCATCCTGTAGTGGTTGGTGAATGACTTGGGGATCATCTTAATAATTCAACATTCGCGCATGGGGAGAGCTGAACGCTAGCTAGAGTGTTCTCTCTGGGCTGCGGTACCTCTTGTGCAGGGATTATCTCGAAAGTTCCGTGTTTTTTAAAAAATTTTTTAAAAATGTTTTTCTTGCTAATTCTCCACTAGACAACCGGGCAACATGAGGAGTAAATAGACTAGCCCGGAGCGGTTTTTACTAGACATTGTACGCCGGGCTAGTACTAAATCGAGCCCTGGGAGTTTCAGAGTTACTGCAGAATGAGTAAATCAGTGATATTCTCAACAATTGATTACTGTACAGTATAATTTCTTCATTTTTTTGCCTGAGGCAGAAGTACACTGAATAAATACTTTCAATTTCTATACACTAATTTTGATTAATTTGTCTGTTAATTTTCTGTATGTATGTTTTAAAATCAGTAACGTTAATTTAAAATAAAATAAGTAAATAGCAATGAGACTGATCAGAACAATTCAGTTTTTACTATAAAAAAGTATTTTAAAGTAATTTGAAAATTAATTACCAGCCAATTTCAGAATCATGCAAAGAATGGTAAATGTTTACAGTACTGTAATTCAATTTTAGAGCTAAGGATATACCAAACAACAAACTTAATCACTTTTCGAAGTGGCAGTCCTTTCACAACAATGGTGGCACAAATTAACGTAATTTGAATTGCCAATCCTTATGTTATTAGCTACAACTCTCCCTATGAACCCTAGCAAGAATTTTTCTTCCGGGACCCTGGCCAAGGTTCTAGCCGGCCTCTTGGTTCGGACGCTAAGTCGGCAATTTCCTGGAGACATCGCTGTTTCACAAGACAAACATACACACAATGCTCTATATAGTCTCACTCGTGAGGCTTAGAAAGTGCAGTTGTTTTTTTGTTGAGAAAAAAAAAAACCCTGCTTTCTGACAGAATCCAGAAGCCTTGCATTGGAAATCAAGCATCTAAGCCACCAAGCTATTCAACATTACTCCAGTATCTTAGCCACCAAGCGATTCAATGTCCAGCATCTTATCCACCAAGCTATTCAATGTAATCTGCTTTTCAGGTTCTATTAATATTCAATTAAAAAAACTAACCTACTTCAACTGTTTAACATCATCCCATCATCAATTGCTTATGTCAAATAAAAATACAGTGTAGAGAGTAATTTATTGTCCTTGAGTATAAAAAATAGAACATTTTACAAATGATCAACCCCCTCAACAAGGTGGATATTATACAGATAATCAGCCCATTTATGTGACTTTTAATTCCAATATGAAAGAATATTCACTCCCCTGTTTAAATGTTTCTTCCTTGGCAATGTTCTTCTCTAACGCACCACATTATTCTCTGTGTGCTTTTCATGTATTTCCCTTAGCATATAGCAAAGTTTTGGTAAAATGCAACATTTGCTGTATGTTGTAAATGTTTCTCACTCAGCGTTTGGCAAAGTTCTTGTCCAGTGCAACACTTGTTCTCTGTATGTTGTAAATGTTTCTCTTAATTCGATCTTCAACACTGGTTGCTGAAAGCTTCATTGGCCTTGAATAAAATTAGATAATTCAGTAAATAAATACAGGTACCAAATCACAGTATACCATTTATTTAATTATTTGTTTGGTACTTCTTTGTGAAACTATTAAACGAACATGCAAATTACAAGTAGTCACCAAAGTGAACTTATATATGTCTCAGCCAGTGATATCACTAAAAAACACTAAATATTAATTGTTATTATGATATTTAACCATTCTTTATATGGAGAACATTTGCAATGAAATATACAATTTACAATCTTTTAAAACAAGCAGTTTTGAGGTTTTTGTATTATTTTTCGGTCATAGTCTATCCTGCTCCAGATGCAACAGAACCAACATCACTGCACTGTTTCCCTACAGTTTAAATCCACTGACAAGTGGTGGTTTGCATGTATATTACATAATTATATAGAAAAAAGGCAAATAGACTAATTTTCAATAATTCAACAAAACCGGTTTTGTTCAGAATCTTAATAATTTTAGTTACTATCACACATATTCATATCATCCCCAAGTAAATGAAATATAAACTCACTCAATAAACTCTGCATTGCGCGATTTGTTTGTTTCTGCTTCCTTCTCGGCCCGGTCTTCATCCTGGAAAATGAGTGAAACAATGTTAAATTCTAGGGCAGTCACTCCATGGAGTGCATACCTCCACCTTGTGACTAAATACAGTACCAACAAGCAGGCCTTCTATAATGGGCCAAACTGCAGCATACACTCCATGAAATAATGGAATCGCCAATCATATTATAGCACATATTTTCTTGAGTGCTGCAGAAAACTCTAAAAAAATTAATGGAATCGCCATCGTTAATGTGGGCCAATTATATGCTTTTATGCTCAAGGGTAAAAATTTGTATTTCCATGAACCTATTAACCCTTTGACACTTCTCCAAAAATTGAATGTTGTCTTTCTTCAATTATTATGTACCATTCCACTAAACTTTATGATTGTCCATTCATCAGTTTTCGCATAATCTTGCTAACAGACAGGGAGACGGTCAGCAGTGAATATTTAACCTCCTTGGCGGAGGTAATAAGGCACAATAACTAGTAAATAATAAACAATTAGTAGATTTGCATATCATACACTAGTGGAAAATATTATATGAAGCAGCCACAATGTTTCCCATATTTATTTTTTATTTATTGTATTTGTTTCTCCTACCCAAGAGTATAATTCGGTACAGGCATAAGCTGGGAAGGTAAACAGACGCGGTGTGAGAAGGAGTGCCATTCCCATTAAAGCATTGCACAGTCTGGTCCCAAAGGTTAAGAAAAAGGGATGTTTTATTA